ACGGGGTATGGCGGCGTGCGCCCCAATAAAGTTTTGAATTTCATGGCATCTTCGTTGTCTCTGCTGACCTCCTAGAGACCTAATAATCAGACAAAAGTTGGTCGTTTTCGGGTTTTTGGCGCCCTATACAAGCTTTGGCACCCCTGGTCCCCCGCTCCCCCCCCCCCCTTGCCAGGCCGCCACTGATGTTGGGAATGTGCTGTGATTGATAAACGAATTAATTATGTGAGTCAACGGAGAGCATAAAATAACAGTTTTCAAAGTAAGAAAAATTGATTAATGTTTTGAAATCATTTTATGTCTGATACGAAGGCATCTCTTGTCTTATTCTACATTTATACTTCGTGACCGTGCCCTTTTCCAATTTGGAGACACAGGGTGTTATATTGTGACCGGAATCGAATTTCGAGTATCCTGTACGTAAGTTGATATTGTCGAAAATTTAGTCAGGAACCACTGTACAATTCAGAGGTTCCGATGAAAAGGACGCCTTCTTAAACAATTATAATTACTAGGATCTTTGGTACTCTATGGCTCAGAATGCATTTTACTGGCAAAATGTCAGGGATCTCCTCTGATATTCAAAACAAAATTAATTCAAGACAGTATCTACCATGTATCAGACCTAATCATGTTGTGTATTGTGACAAAAAAACTTGTGCCTTTTTAAATAATTTGCATCAATTTTGTTTCCAGTATGTATTACAACTGTATATGCCTATTTGTACAAGCAATTTCTTTTTAATTAATGAATCCGGCATTTTCACTCAATGAAAATATGTTTAAACATTACTTAATTTAGAAAGAATTTGTGTGATGCTGTTTTGATTTCTTCAATGTAAGGCAGGAGGGAATTGAAAGGACCCGAACCCCGATCCCCCTTTTTCCAAAATGTGGCAGAGAAATGTGTTTCACTGCAAGCTTGATTTCAACATATCCTGAAGGGCATTTCCCCCTTTTCTGGAGGTCTTTAGGGCGTGGCTTCACGCAATTTTTGTTCAGGGTTCCAGGGAATGATTGCGGGTGCCAGGGTGTCCCTTGAAAGTGGTAGCAGAAATGCCATGAATAGGAAAGAAAACCATACGACGTCATAGCATTGAGACACTGCTGTGTTGGATGTTTCAAATTCTCCAAACTACTTGCAATCCAGTCTTGTTTCTTTTCTTTTTTAACATGATCTTCAAAAAATCTTGACATTCTCTCCTCCCCCCCTTCCCCCCCCAAAAGGTCAAAGAAATTAACCTCGTTTACCCAAGAAATTCGAATTCCTGATACAAAATTGGTTTGAATAAACTACCTAACTGCGAATTTCTACCTCCCTCCGGGTGGTAACTTGCTCAGTTAGAGCCAGGTCTATAAAAGCAATTTTTGCTCAACTCTTTGCGAAATTATTCATTTGCTCCCTGGAGCAACCATACAGGATTTGCTGGCAAGTTCAACTCGAAGTTAGAACGTGAGTAGTTGGGGACATCAGCAACAACAGAGAATTGACCAAAAAGTTTTAACCAAAAATCATGAAAAAATTACTTGGTAAGATGTTTCTCCTGTAATAAAATAAAGACATTTTAAACGTAACTGAAAGTTGCATACACTTTGAGATATTTTTTGTTAATGCCCATCCATCCATTTATTCGAAACGTTTTGCAGGCTCTAGCAAAGATATCTTCCTAAAGAAATGCATTTCACAACTTTTTCACGACCATTGATTAAAGATTTTTGGTAATTTTGTGAAATTAGCTCGAATTCATGTTTAAACTTCCCCTGTCTTATCTTTCTCGAAGGCCTTGCATTGCTTCTGATAACCTGGCTCCTTGACGCTTCATGCAGCCCCATATCTACAAATGACCAGGTATGTAAAAACTAAGCCACACGCATTATAATAATAAATTTCATTTCATTACTGAAAATTCCATTGCTGAAAAATTCTTTACCAATGTACTGAATTGTCACCCGCGGCCTCTTTCTCGCTTTATTTAAGTAATTCTAGTTGCTACTGACGGCTTCTCCTTTTAGACCTGCTAGCTTCTTCTCCTGTTAACACCAGGGTATTTTTATCCGGATGAATCCTTATACAGAAATAAAATTATGCGGATAGGCGTTTCGTCTAGTTGAGCGAAATTTGCCCGTGTAGATATTTATCTGTTTTGCCCTACAAACATTTATCTTGCTATGAAAGCCTGAAAAAAATTTATCTTGATATAATTCTGTCCGGCAAACTGTAATGTAAACGGTTTTATCAGGATAAATTCATCAGGATTTTACCAACACAGCGATGCTATTCTGTTTAATTTTGAGGCCATTTAAAATGATAACGAAACGTTGCAAGAGGGAAAAATAGATTTCACACTTTCTCAGTCTAGGCCGAACGCTGCTTTGCTGCTCTTGTAGTCAACAAAAACGGAATAATTTGCAGCAGCAACGCAGTTTCAACATTTGTCCATGTGAAGTTCTTATAAACCTTCTTGCTACTTCCCGTCGGTCGTTGTGTTTTCTAATTTTCTTGATATTGTCTTCGCTCAACTTTACGATTAGGAGGGAGTCTTTGGGGTTGACAGTATTACGGTATTTGCCTTTTCTCTGTCGGTAATTCGGTAATCTCAACAAATTTTAGTAATTGACATTTTAGTAATGAAAAAATTGGCGGTGAACGGGTTTCCGTAAATTCTGAATTGAATAATATAGCAGTTTAATTAGAAATAGGGGCAAAATGATACTCGTGGTATTCTGTTGTATCCATGTTACCTCTGGTTGAATAGTCCTGAAGTTGCAACTGCAAATGGGCCTGATTTGCTTCCGGACTATTTATCATTAATTTTGTCCTCTTCCTTTTTTCACAATGTGAAATGACTAATATATAAGCAGGGTTACCGAAGTCAGCCAAAGTGACCTTCTGATCTTTTTATCCATGCGTCATATACAACGTGTCATACATAAAAAGTAAACACGATTTCAGATGGGAACACTTAGAAGGGGTCCCCCAATTTTTTGTCAATCACTACTTAATTTCAATTATCTGCTGTGTATAATATTTGCATTATCGGATAACGATAGTAAATATAAGCCAATGCTTGTTTTTACTATGATGTTGTTTTAGGCTGCAGTTGTTAAAGGTATTATTCACATATGGTACTTTAAGGTTAGGGATAAACGGGCGGTTTGAAGAACAAGCTGATCTTCAAAATAAATGAAAAATTTTAAATTTATATTTACAGTAAAAGTAGTAAAGAATCACAATGCAATATTTAGTAAACGGGAGAGAAGGTCCCTTCTATTTTTGACAACAGATTTGTCTTAATTTTTTCAATTGAAATACCTTCTACTCGGCAACCTGATGCTTGACACACCCTGAGAAATTTTTCTAGCACCGCCCTAGGCTGCGTACAAACTATACTTTCCATCGCGAAGGAGTGCCAGGGCGGAGCTAGCACCGCCCCTGAAAAACGCTCTACTGTAAACGGAGTCTTATATTAATGGTGTGGATTTTTCACTATTGTTTTTTGTTTGCTTTGCGTTTTATTTGTTGCTGGCTGGTAAGTTAGTGTGAAATCGCTTAGAGAGAGAAAAGTACAGCGAAGGCTTGAGCTCCGAAATTTTTCAGTTGACTAACTCGTTTTTAATACCGAAGAACAAAGCATTCATGACGGAGCAATTCAAATTGCTGTATGACTTCGAAGAACAATCTGGAGTCTTATTTACAAGACTCCGGATAAAGAACTTCCATAAATATAGTATATTATTTACTTGATCCAATTGATAAACGTACTTCGATTCCTACGGGTGCAATAAATCCAGATAAAAGCCACACCCATGTCAATGATATTGAAAGTTACCCTCTTTTCTCTTACATGCCTTTAACGATAGACTCCCTAATCTCTGACAACTGAGGTGGACTGGGGTCAACTGGGGTGGACTGGGGTGGACTGAGGTCAACTGGGGTGGACTGGGGTCAACTGGGGTGGACTGGGGTCAACTGGGGTGGACTGAGGTCAACTTGGGGGACTGGGGTCAACTGGGGTCAACTGGGGTCAACTGGGGTCAACTGGGGTGGACTGAGGTCAACTTGGGGGACTGGGGTCAACTGGGGTCAACTGGGGTCAACTGGGGTCAACTGAGGTGGACCTGTCCACCACACATTTTAAAATCAATTTTCCAAACTTTTCCAAAACTGGATTGAAGACATAAGGCTAGACTTCTTATTTCAGATCGGAACTTTTTTCTTTTGATGGGCAGTTACGCTTCTTTTCGGATCCTAACTGACATAGAGTATGGAGCATCAGTTTCATAGCAACTGGGTCATCAGTTTCATAAATAGTGAGAAGCTAAAATGAAAATGATCTATAAAACACTGCTTTATCGTGGTAAACAGTTGGTTCTTAGAGTGTGATCTTTGCCTTCCTTCCTTGTTAAAGGTTTTTTGGCAATAATTAACTTTAAGACTTGTACCCAAACTTTTTTAAGCTGCAAGGATAGTGAAGTTGCAGGCCCACCTGTTACAGCTGCATCATTTTTTTAGTCTCAATGTCAGACGAAAGGTCGGAAAACCTTGTTCAAATTAGTGTCGATCGAGATATGGAAGATAAAATAGACAAAGGAAGCCTCGTTAATAAATTTAAAACCATTGCTAGCTAAAAAATACCACTCTGAAATTAGCTTTTGTTATTAGCTTTAATATTCTAACTCGTGAAAAAAATACAAAGCAAAATGAAGGGCAAATATCTCCCTCAGAAATCATGCCCTAGACATCAGGAAATCAGTCATGAGGCTATGTTGCCACATCATCGAAGGCGATTTGGGTCGTTGCAATAACGGGCCCGATTTCTCGCATGTTGTTGCACAGGTTTCTCACCCAGACCCCTTTATCAGCTCCACCCCTTCATTGTCCACCCCAGTATTTTTGGGGCTGGCACCGCCCCGATGGACAAGGGTTGAGTTTGAGAAATAGGCCAATAACTGTGCCTTGTTTTGGATAGCAATTCTACCTTGTTTGTGTTTGTGTTTGTGCACCAATGTTGTGACCAAATAATCTGATGCACAGCAAATCTTGTTGGCGCACAATAAACAAATACTCTGTGTCTTTGGTGCACAAATCTCTCAGATCTTGAGTTGTGCACAGAAATAGTTGAATATTTCTATTTCATTTAAACTAATAAGTGGTCACCATCCGGGCCCCTCAGAATTCTAAAAGGCGGGCCCTTCATAAGGGGACATTTTTGAATTTATGCATAAATCCATAACCGTACACGTTATCTTTGTTGATTGGAAACAATGGCTATTCCACCTAAATAACTTTTGAAGTTATGCAAATATATTATATATATATTGAAACTGGGATCATTCATCAAATCAATGAGGGTCTCCCAAGGGTTGTCGAGAACAAGGGAACATCGCAACAAATGGTACAAAGACACGGGAACAACTTGAATTTTCCGCCGGGAACATAGGGACATTATTACTAGTTTAAGGGGCAAAGGGAACTTTTTTTATTGTTCAACGGGAACACGGGAAAATTAGTTGTTTCATTCAAAGGGAACAGAGGAACAAGTACCCCCTCCCCCCTGGGAGACCCTCATCAATGCGGCTTTTTGCTTGTCTCTTAAGTTTGGAGCACAAAATCCTTCGTTTGACGCAATATCTTGTTTGCAATAAAATTGCAACGCATTTGGTGCACTTCGCACCTACCTGTTTTTATTCCCTGACCATATGTGCATATGGTAACATTGCACAACCACAGCAACACGCGCGCATTTGGAGCCTCGATTCAAAAATCAAGACGAAGAGGCATGCAACAGGGCAGGAAGAGTTCAGTGGGGACCACAATTTACTGTTTTCAAGAAACAGTTACTTGATACATAATACATGATAAAGAATTCAACGTCATATGCATTTGTTTTGAGTATGTATGTTCTATGCCAGAACTGTGAGGCACCTTGTTGCTGGCCCTTCTTGCACTGCACAAAACTCAATGCTATGTAGCTTTAAATAATTTTAAGTTATTGTAAGTTGTTTACAATTAATATGTTTGTTGTAGTGGGAAACGGTCTGATTTAGACCAGTTTATGATTATCCCTACGTGTTTATTCTACAGTAACCATATTAGTGCAGAAACATGATTAAAAAATATTTGTTTAAATTAGATTAAAACACAGTAGATTCAAATTACAAATACTTTTCTTTAAATCAAACAAAATAGACCTTCTAAATGAAAGTATTACAGTAGATACTTTGCTAAAAACTTTTCCTGTGCTTTGGATTTTTTTTACTTAGGTTGAAACTTAATCTAGCTAGTGGTAGGCACCTTTTTTGTTTCCTCTGATAAAACTTTTCTCAAAGCACCCCTTTCTAAAGAAACTATGACCCAGATTTTGCAAACTATAGACCCTTTGTCAGAGAAGTCATGCATGCATGCGAGGGTAGTAATTTCTATTTCAAATACTTGTACAGTCCTGTAATGGTTATATTAACTGAGTTGAATATTGAACCTTTTTACAAGTCCCTTCAGGTTATTCAAACCTGCCAGCCTTTGGCTTGATTGTGTTGCAGGCAAATGGACAGAAAATTGAAAGACCCATCCAAAAACTGTATCCGTTGGAGGGTCAGTCAAATCAGCCCACAATTAACCCAGGAAGAAGATTGCCACAGCCTGCTGAAGAGAGAAGGCCAAAACAAAAGAAAAGAGAGAAGACAGCTTTTGTTGCTGAAGATTCATTCAGGGTAATTGACAAATTTGAAAACAATGATACAGGACTAAAGGGCTCTTATTGGCCAAGGGGGAATGTACTGAATTGTCACCCAAGCCTCATTCTCATTTTATTTATGTTATTTAAGTTGTTGCTGACAGCTTCACCTTTTAAATGATTGGTATGGAATTTTACCGCTGTTTTTGTTTGCTTTGTGTTTTTTTGCTGCTAACTGGTTAGTCATTGTGAAATCACTTAGAGTACAGCATAGAACAGAAGCTTGAGCTTCAAAATAGCAATCAGAACAGAGCAATTCAAATTGTACCTGACTTCAAGGAACAATCTGAACTCTGATGTACAAGACCCCAGTTGACGAACTTCCATAGTATATTATTTACTTGAACCAATTGACAAAACACTTTGATATGATATCCAAGGCTGTGTCTACTTGATGCCACATAACTTTTGATCGAGATAAAAGTTATAAATAGGCCTTCCATTTACACGAGTACTGGGCTATCTGTACCAAAATGGATTCAGTTAGACATAGAACTTTTGATCATTGTAGATAGATGATCTCAAAGTTATTAGGCATTATGTAAACAGGCTATCTGGATAAGTTCTGCGACTGATTCAAAATGAGGCAGTGATTTTGACTTAATGAGGCTGAAATTTTAGTGCCAAACTTCCATCCTCGAAACAGTGGTTGCTTCGCTCAAAAGTATTGAAATGAAAAAAATTAATTCAAAAGACTAACAGCTTGGCTTATCTCTACAATCAATGCATTAGCTGCAATCGCATAGCTCAAGGTGAAAATGGCAGTACTATTAGACCACATGTTTCAAATCAACCAACAGCAATAAGAGCTCTTCAAGGACGATATGGTACTGTCTAAGAATGGATTGAACAATTTTGAATGAAGCCATACCCTGAGAAAAATGCAACAACAAGGCAATTACCTATGTCATTGGAAAAACATGTTGCCATAAGTCTTCATTATCTGGTGGATATCTGTTGCAGTTTCAAAGTTAGCTGTTCCAATTATTTTTCAAGATGTTTGCCAGGCTATATCCTTGCATCTAGAGCCAAAATATATCAAAATGCCTATAACAGAGGATGAATAAATGCTGTGGAAAACTGTGACCCAAAGTACCCTCAGTGTCTTGGAGCTGTAGATGGCACATTTTCATCAAGAGACCAAGTGAAAATCCTAGAGATTTTCTGAATCAAAAGAAACGGTATTCCCTTAATGTCCAAGCAACATGTGACAACAGCATCTGAAAACTGGATTAATTCCCTTGTACCCAAGAAAGATTATTGGTGATGATGAGGAGGTACCAGTTTTTGTTTTTGGAGACACAACATACCCACTTTATCCTTATCTAATGAAATATTTTTCTGGTGGGGGAAACCATACAAGAGCAACATTTTGGCAACAGGCTTTGATCAGCTTGTGTTGTCATAGAAAGTGCCTTTGGCCGACTTAAGGCTTGCTTTGCTTTTGCTATATTGAAAAGTGAAATGGGTGTTGTTTTCCCATATCTACAGCATGTTATATTTATAGTTTCTTTGTCTTACATAACTGCTGTGAAACAAGAAAAGAAACCATTGGAGAGAAAATCACCCAGATTATAAGAAACCAAAGTAATGCAAATAAGCCAACAATTGAAAGACACAGAGGGAACAATTCATCAGAAATTTTTTTGCAAACTACTTTGATTGAGAAAGATATTTCCATCTTCACATGATCTTATAATTTGTTGGACTTTAATACATGATTTTAGTGTTTTACATGGAGGCCAAAATAAAAAATGGATTTGCTTTGAGTAACAAATGTTGCACTAGGTCAAATGTCTCTGTTGTGTTTGAAGCTTCTAGGGGAAAGTGTCATTGCCAATTGTTCTGTAATTCCCATATGGTTTGGATGTTTGTGGGGGCAAAAACATTACAGGCAATGTCCAGATGGTGCTCATAGTTCTTTTATTTTCTTTTGAATATGCTATCTATCATATGGACTAAAATCATGTATTATAAAAATTGGCATGTCAGGGTGGGAGCTTTTTGGAAGGTGGGAGCTTTTTGGAAGGTGGGAGCTTGTTTTAAACTTTGACTTCCATGGTGTGGGCTAATTTGAGAATAGCTTACAAATGGATTTATGGTAACTTAGTTCAACTTTTCCTGTTAACGCAAAGTTTGTTCTGTTTTATTTTAATATTGTTTTGCACTCGTAAACTTGTTAAAGCATTGAATTTGGCTGCTGATCATGTTCTCTTCTTGTCTCAGAAGAGGGCTGTGTGATTGAAAAATTGTATTCCCCAGTTAATTTGTGGTGGCATAGCATAGCACATTGGCTGTTGTTGTTGTATAAATGTCTGGGAACCAGGGTTACTGTCATGCCCTCAAGGGTAGTCGTTACTCTTTTGGCGAGCAGATAACCACAGTGAGCACTATAGACCGAGTGTCGCGACTTGACTCATATGCCTTACTGAATAAATGCGGTAACTAAAACGAGAATACTTCTTAGGATATAAGTTTCGTAAACAAAACGATACAGCAACAAAGGATAATGCTAACATACGGTATGAATAACAAAATGGTGTTTGAAAACGAGTAAAGCTATAGTAAAGTAGTATATTTCGATATATGTCCGATAGGTTAATATAATTCATTAATAACTTACAAAATCCGTGCATCCAATAGCTGCAATCGTCCGAAAACACAACGAAGTAAATAGTTACGAAGATCTAGGCTAATGTATTTCAATGCGTGTGTTCTTGCAACAGGGTTTCGTATTTCCATAACCGCAGTTGTCTTTTCTGGTGTCTCGAATTTAAACAACACGAAAGTGGATTCATCAAAGTTACTGTCTGGATAACCAAAAAGCCTAGAGATGCAATATACCTGATCCATTTGAAATGACATTAGCTAAGTTATTTAAGTTGTCAGCAAACATTTTCATTGCATCTGTATGTTGCTCTTTGCTTCCTTTGATGCTTTCAAAAGCTGCTTCTGCAGTTTTATCTCTTCTCTTCAACTGAAGTCCACTTTGAAACCTTTCATTCTTTCTTAATTCTATTAAAGGTAAGCAATAAAGTGGTGTCTTGCAAAAGGTAAGCAATAAAGTGGTGTCTTGCAAAAGGTAAGCTATCAAGTGGTGTCATGTCTTTTTTTGCTGGTTGGGTCACTTTGCACGGGTCTTCTTCTACAGGCCCCAAATCAGACTCTGTAGCAAGTAACAACAAAATAATTGCTCAACTCAAATTCATTGCTTTCAGAAAAGGGGTTCGAAGAAGAAAAGCTGTTGCTTTCAATCCCATATTCCATGCAGTTTACTGCTTGGGACCCTGCCCAAATTTCTTTGCAATGATTGTAAAGAGCAAATATCACTCTCCTATCACAAATTTTTAGGCCAGAATCGATAGCTAATCCTAAATACTGCCTTAATCCTTTTTAATTTTGGAATTATTTTCATTTTGGTGATAAAGGTTGGATCCGAGCAATGTGGATACTCTTCTTTGTTTGCCCCAACAATATCCTTCGGATAACTAAACAGACCTTCGGCAGTGGCGGATCCAGCCAAAAATCTGACTACCGCCGAAATGAGATAGAGGGTTGACCACACCCTTTAGACCACACCCATTTCTTGGTCACACCCGGTTTTCTAAAATGATTATTGCTTTCTTTAATTTCTATTGTAGACCATTTTCAAGAGACAAGCGGTGCTTTACTGATATTTCATATATCCTTACAACAAGCTTGAGAAGAAATAAATAATCTTATTCAATATTCTGAGGATGGATATTCTAAAAAAAATTTACGGCATTTAGACGAGGAACACCATAGAATTAAAAAAAGATACATTTGGCAGAATTTTGAAGTGTCGCCTAAAACTCGCATTTAGTCGGACAATTACTTATGAAAATCAGACCTGTTGGAAATTACAAGTTTAAAAAGCTAGATAAAATTTGCAATTATTGAGAGCAATTTTTGTTAAACAAAGAATCATACTTTTGGCGAATATTGTGGGCCTGACTTTTAATTTAATATTCTTTTAAAATATATTCCTACGAATAGTTGTGTATTGTACAGATTAATGAGTCACATCGGCTTTGAAGTTACAGTTTGCCCACTTGCAGAATATGTAGGCATCCCCCCATCTTTCTGTAACGTTTGAGCCGCGTTGAGCGGCAGTACTACTCAACCCCCCATCTGAGCGGTAGTCAACTCGGTTGTTCATTGGTTGTCAACAAAATTTGTATGCATCCCCCCAGGTTGACAGTGATTTCTGACGATTTGATTGGTTTAGGCAGGCTGACTACCGCTCAGTGCAGCTCGAATCCGCTCTACACCGACTCAACCCCCCTAGCTAGCAAGCCATGATTTCATCATCCCCCCATGCTAGCCTTCTATTTACAAACATGTGGCTCGGCAATTGGCACGCAATTTCCATAGCGATAAGGATTAAAAAATATTTCTGTCTCTGTGGAAATTTCAGGCATGTTTCTAGGAAGAAAGGCTTGGTTTGCAGCGCGATCAAATATTTTCAATAATTAAATATGGTTTAATTGAAGTAGTAGGATAAACATGAAAATGATCCTTGTTTCTATAATTTTTTGAATAATCTGACTACCGCTCGAGCGGTAATGGCGGTAGTCTGGATCCGCCACTGTTCGGGTAACAGATTACAGAAATGGAATCGTTCAGCAATTACATCGTATTGTGACCTGGCGCCTGACGGTCTCCCAGTCAAGTGAAGGCCGTGAGCCATCTGTGAATAATTTTGTCATCTGTCTCAACAAACTTTCTCTCTTGGTTGCATTTCTCATTGTCTTCTATTTTGTTTGCTTCCTTTTCCATTGCTTAGTTTTATTTGGTATTCTTGAATGCAAGGTCCGGCCGGAAAGAAAAATAAATTCTTTTGACCCCTTTCTTCTTTCGTTTGTTACATCCAAAAGCGCATTACTGTAGTCTGTCCATGTTTGCTTACGGATCTGTGTTTCCCGCGGTTTTTGGGACCGAGTTAAGATGGCTCCCTATGTTTTGAATGGCATCAATTTTGATGTTATAGAACAATAGGGGAAAGATGCATGACGCTGGTCATGGCGGCACGGAATCGCGGGCGCAAATTCTCCACATGGCTTCAATATATGCAGTAAAAACTTCAAAGTCAAGGTATACAAGTTAATTGTTTTCGAAATCTGGTAGACATACTGCTGGATGAAACCTATAAAACATAAATGCTTAATAAAGGTATATCAAGAAAGAACTTTTTATCATTGTTTCGAAACAACAAACAAAACTGCAGGTAAATATCGAAATATCTACATTTATAAAATATTAGAATATTGAGATAAAACATTGTCGCGAGAAAAATTGCAGCAAGAAATATTTTGAAGTGTATTTTCCAGCTTATCTGAAGAGCGTGGTCGCAAAATTCTGTCTCTATACTGAATCTTTTACAATTTTCCTCGTTTTTACATAATATAAAAAGAATTAAAGGGATTATACAAAAAGGGTCCTTCATGTTCTTAAATAGATATTAAAATGCTTGAATTCTGAAAAAAATCAGACATATATGAAAGGCTTGTCGAGAATCCTACAGATATAGCTTAAAAATTTTGAATACTTTTTATTTTTTTTAGATATTTGCTTCCAACTTAGGAAAATCAGTTTTTACATGTAGAGCTTTTTCGCCTGACACAATTCAAGATATAAACGTAAAAGGAATTGTGAAGGAAATCAACAGTTGTAGAATGGGGTCAGCCACAAAAAGCTATACATGACTGTTGCTGTATGATTAACCAACCATTGCCAGGAAAGAAAAGCCGTGACTTTTTTCAAACACATTTACAAAATGATGGTTAACAAGTATGTGGTTAACAAAATTTCCACTTTTGCACAGTGTTGTTTGCACTTTCTAAAGATGTAAAAGATTGACCAAACACTTGCAAAGTTGCAATTGTTCAAAAAATGCAAAGTTAGTTTTCAAAATTCTTTACCAGTTTCTATCCAGTGCTGCAAATTCCTTATGTTTTGCCAGTCCAAATGCTATTGTAGTGACCATTGTCGAACGTAATCATGTCTTCCATTGTATCAATGTCATTAACACCTTCCATTGTCTCCGTATCCACAGTAACGTAATAAACAACACTTTCGTAGGGTCCCTTCATTCTATGTATATACGCACTGTATTGTAATTTAGTTCACTTCAGTTAGAACATAGTCAATACGTTTTTGCTATTGACTATGGTTAGAATCAAGACACGCAGTAGACATATCGTCTCTCTCTGGCTCCGTGTTCTCTGCACGTAATATAGGACACAGCACTGGTTGGAAATGACACGTTAATCGATGGATGGATTTACTTAGTGACTACATTGATCGCCGTTCCGATGTACATTAAACTATGAAAGCATTTCCTTAATACAAATGCATGTATTATAAAGTTGTCATATTTTGGACTATAATAACCCTTGGATTCCTGATTTCTCGGGGGGCTATAAGAAGTATATTGATATCTTATTCGGGGGGCTATAAATAGTTATTATAGACAATTTCACATTGTTCAGATAGGTCTATATACAGCAAGACTTTATTTCGAAAGGAGTCTTGTACCCTTTCATTCCTTTGATGAACATTTTTTCTCTTACATAACCTAGAACCCCTCATCATATCTTTTTTAGTTTTATTTAAATGGTTGCCGAAACTCTGCCATCATAAAAGGTTGAATCGAGCTTGTTTTCAGCTTGTATCACAAAAAAAATATTTTTGGGGATAAATACTGCAAAACCAATTTAGGTTCGTGCAACTTCATTGTGAATATACCTCGACCTTTGTTCTCTTTGGCGACCCCTCAACGTTTTATACCTTTTTCGGTCATTGACAATTTATTTCCACGTGGGATATTCTTGATTGCATTGTAAATAGTTGCAATATTTCGATTATCACTTCAGATACAAATGTGAAAGTCAGTGCATTCATTCACTGAGATTCATTCTTGAAAAAATGGGTAGCAAGCTTATCTTTGATATCTTGGCTGGCAGTAATCGTTCTTGTTGTCAAGAACGTCGCTAGCTATTGTGCTCATAAGGGCTGTCCAGTTCCCATTCGCTGATTAAGTAGGTGAGCCATCCTTTATTTGCTGACAATTCTGAAAAATCCCCAACGATGCAATTCTAGACGGCCGATTATTTTCTCGTATTTGTAGAGCAATTCTTTCAAAAGAGTCAGTCACACCACTAGTCCCAACCTCCGGCTATGGCCCTACTTGCAGTCTTCGATGATTGTTTACTATAATTCCAAACTTGAAAATTTTCAAAGGAATTTTCAAACTCTCAAAGGAAATTTTCTTCTCACTTCAGCCCGTGTCAGAATCATCACCGCCATCGTTGGAGACATCAGAAAGTTCCTCTTCATTACGGCCCGCGTCAGCATCATCGTTGGTGACATCAACAGTTTACTCCTCATTAAAGCCCACGTCAGAATCAACCTTGCCATCGTTCGTGATATCAACAGTTTCCTCCCCATCACAGCCCACGTCAGCACCATCCTCGTCATCATTGTTGGCATCAGTAGTTTCCTCCTCATCACAGCCCACGGCAGCACCGTCCTCGTCATCATTGGTGGAATCAGTAGTTTCCTCCTCATCACAGCACACGTCAGCATTATCCTCGTCATCATTGGTTGCACCAACAGTTTCTTTCTCAGCACCACCTACCTTAGCATCGTCAAAGTCATCACAGGTGACATCTGAAGTTCTCTCTTCATTAGAGCTCGTGTCGGAATCATCCTCGCCATCGTTGGAGACATCAGAAACTTCCTCCTCATTACAGCCCACGTCAGCATCATCATTGGTGACATCAGTAGTTTCCTCCTCAACACAGCCCAAGTCAGCATCATCCTCGTCATCATTGCTGGCATCAGTAATTTTCTCCTTATCACAGTCCACGTCAGAATCATCCTCGCCATCGTTGGAGACACCAGAAAGTTCCTCCTCATTACAGCCCATGTCAGCACCATCATTGGTGGCGTCAGTAGTTTTCTCCTCAACACAGTCAACGTCAGCATCATCCTCGTCATCATTGGTGGAATCAGTAGTTTCCTCCTCATCACAGCACACGTCAGCATCATCCTTGTCATCATTGGTTGCACCAACAGTTTCTTTCTCAGCACAACCTACCTTAGCATCGTCAACGTCATCACAGGTGATATCTGAAGTTCTCTCCTTATTAGAGCCCGTGTTGGAATCATCATCGTCATCATTGGTGGCATCAGTAGTTTCCTCCTCATCACATCCCACGTCAGCATCATCCTCGTCATCGTTGGAGACATCAGAAGTTTCCTCCTTATTAGAGCCCACGTCAGCATCATCCTCGTCATCATTGGTGGCATCAGTGGTTTCCTCCTCATCACAGCACACGTCAGCATTATCCTCGTCATCATTGGTTGCACCAACAGTTTCTTTCTCAGCACCACCTACCTTAGCATCGTCAAAGTCATCACAGATGACTTATGAAGTTCTCTCCTCATTAGAGCTTGTGTCGGAATCATCCTCGCCATCGTTGGAGACATCAGAAACTTCCTCCTCATCACATCCCACGTCAGCATCATCCTCGTCATCGTTGGAGACATCAGAAGTTTCCTCCTTATTAGAGCCCACGTCAGAATCATCCTCGTCATCATTGGTAGCATCAGTAGTTTCCTCCTCATCACAGCCCAAGTCAGCACCATCCTCGTCATCATTGGTGGAATCAGTAGTTTCCTCCTCATCACAGCCCAAGTCAGCTTCATCATTGTTGGCATCAGTAGTTTCCTCCTCATCACAGCCCAAGTCAGCTTCATCCTCGCCATCGCTGGAGACATCAGAAGTTTCCTCCTTATTAGAGCCCACGTCAGCATCATCCTCGTCATCATTGGTTGCACCAACAGTTTCTTTCTCAGCACCACCTACCTTAGCATCGTCAAAGTCATCACAGATGACATATGAAGTTCTCTCCTCATTAGAGCTTGTGTCGGAATCATCCTCGCCATCGTTGGAGACATCAGAAACTTCCTCCTCATTACAGCCCATGTCAGCATCATCATTGATGACATCAGTAGTTCCCTCCTCAACACAGCCCAAGTCAGCATCATCCTCGTCATCATTGGTGGCATCAGTAGTTTTTTCCTTATCACAGTCCACGTCAGAATCACCCTCGTCATCGTTGGAGACACCAGAAAGTTCCTCCTCCTTACAGCCCACGTCAGCATCATCATTGTTGGCATCAGTAGTTTCCTCCTCATCACAGCCCAAGTCAGCTTCATCCTCGCCATCGCTGGAGACATCAGAAGTTTCCTCCTTATTAGAGCCCACGTCAGCATCATCCTCGTCATCATTGGTGGCATCAGTGGTTTCCTCCTCATCACAGCACACGTCAGCATTATCCTCGTCATCATTGGTTGCACCAACAGTTTCTTTCTCAGCACCACCTACCTTAGCATCGTCAAAGTCATCACAGATGACTTATGAAGTTCTCTCCTCATTAGAGCTTGTGTCGGAATCATCCTCGCCATCGTTGGAGACATCAGAAACTTCCTCCTCATCACATCCCACGTCAGCATCAACCTCGTCATCGTTGGATACATCAGAAGTTTCCTCCTTATTAGAGCCCACGTCAGCATCATCCTCGTCATCATTGGTGGCATCAGTAGTTTCCTCCTCATCACAGCACACGTCAGCATTATCCTCGTCATCATTGGTTGCACCAACAGTTTCTTTCTCAGCACCACCTACCTTAGCATCGTCAAAGTCATCACAGATGACATATGAAGTTCTCTCCTCATTAGAGCTTGTGTCGGAATCATCCTCGCCATCGTTGGAGACATCAGAAACTTCCTCCTCATCACATCCCACGTCAGCATCATCCTCGTCATCGTTGGAGACATCAGAAGTTTCCTCCTTATTAGAGCCCACGTCAGAATCATCCTCGTCATCATTGGTGGCATCAGTAGTTTCCTCCTCATCACAGCACACGTCAGCATTATCCTCGTCATCATTGGTTGCACCAACAGTTTCTTTCTCAGCACCACCTACCTTAGCATCGTCAAAGTCATCACAGATGACATATGAAGTTCTCTCCTCATTAGAGCTTGTGTCGGAATCATCCTCGCCATCGTTGGAGACATCAGAAACTTCCTCCTCATCACATCCCACGTCAGCATCATCCTCGTCATCGTTGGAGACATCAGAAGTTTCCTCCTTATTAGAGCCCACGTCAGAATCATCCTCGTCATCATTGGTGGCATCAGTAGTTTCCTCCTCATCACAGCCCAAGTCAGCACCATCCTCGTCATCATTGGTGGAATCAGTAGTTTCCTCCTCATCACAGCACACGTCAGCATTATCCTCGTCATCATTGGTTGCACCAACAGTTTCTTTCTCAGCACCACCTACCTTAGCATCGTCAAAGTCATCACAGATGACATATGAAGTTCTCTCCTCATTAGAGCTTGTGTCGGAATCATCCTCGCCATCGTTGGAGACATCAGAAACTTCCTCCTCATCACATCCCACGTCAGCATCATCCTCATATAACAATGAGCATGGTCAACGAGTGAAGATGAGGATGTCACTTAAACATGTCGAGTTTGGCGAAGATGGACTGCTGATGTCAGCAATGAGACGTTGACGATGCTGATGTGGGCTGTCGCTGAGGAAGAAGAACTACTGATGCCAGTACCAATGATGAACCGAGGCATGAATGCTGGAGTGGCTCTAATAAGGAGGAAACTTATGATGTCTCACAGCGATGGCGAGATGAAGCTGACTTGGGCTTTTGATGAGGAGGAAACTAACTGAATGCCAACATGATGATGCTAGTGGGCTGTAAAGGAGGAGGACTTTCTGGTGTCTCAAACGATGACAAGGGTGATTTCTGACATGGACTGTGATAAGGGAAAACCTGATCACAAATGATGACGAGGATGATGCTGACTTGGGCTGTGTTGAGGAGGAAACTAGCTGATGGTCATCAATGATTGATTGGGCTGACATGGGCTTGTATGAGGAAGAAGGTTTCTGATGTCTCCAACGATGGCGAGGATGATTCCGACACAAGCTCTAATGAGGAGAAAATTCATATGTCATCCTGTGATGACTTTGCACTCGACTGCTAAGGTAGGTTGGTGCAGGAAAGAAACTGTTGGTTGCAAACCAATGATGCGAGGATAATGCTGACGTGTGCCTGTGATGAGGAGGAAAGACTAACTGATTCCACCAATTGAATGACGAGGATGGTGCTACGACGTGGGCTCTAATAAGGAGGAAACTTTGATGTCCTCCAGACGATGACGAGGATGATGCTGACGTTGGGAGTGATGAAGGAAGGAAAAGTTCTGATGTTCCAACGATGGCGAGGAATGATTTCCGACACAAGCTCTAATGAGGGAGAAGAACTTCATAATGTCATACTGTGATGACTTTACGATGCCTAAGGTAGGTGGTACTTGAGAAAGAAACTGTTGGTGCAACCATGATGACGAGGATAAAGCTGACGTGTGCTGTGATGAGGAGGAAACTACTGGATGCCACCCCATGATGACGAGGATTGATTCTGACGTGGGCTCTAATAAGGAGGAAACTTCTGTATGTCTCCAACGATGACGAGGATGATGCTGAACGTGGGATGTGATGAGGAGGAAAGTTTCCTGATGTATCCATACACCTGGCGAGGATTGATTCTCCGAACACAAGCTCTAATGAGGATGAGAACTTCATATGTCATCTGTGCATGACTTTGAAGATGCTAAGGGTAGGTGGTACTAGAAGAAAAGGAACACCTGTTTTTGGGTTTGGGGGGGCACCCAAAAAAAACCAATGATGACGAGGATAATGCTGAGTGGTGCTGTGATGAGGAGAAAACTACTATCGGCCACCTATGATGACAGAGGATGATTCTGACCGTGGGGCTCTAATAAGGAGGAAACTTCTGATGTCTCCAACGAATGACGAGGATGATGCTGACGTGGATGTGAATGAGGCGGAAGTTTCTGATGTTCAACGATGGGCGAGATGATTCCGACACAAGCTCTAATCGAGGAGAGAACTTCATAATGTCATCTGTGATGATTTCGACGATGCTAAGGAAGTAGTGGTGCTGAGAAGATACTGGTTTGGTCAACAATGATGACGAGGATAATGCCTGACGGTTGGGTGTGCTGTGATGAGGAGGAAACTACTGATTCCACCAATGATGACGAAAAAAAAAAAAAAAGGGAAAAAATGGGTGCTGACTTGGCTGTGATGAGGAGGAAAACTAACTGATGCACCAATGAATGACGAGGATGATTGACGTGGGCTTCTAATAAGGAGGAACTTCTGATGTCTTCCAACAGATGACGAGGATGATGCTGAGTGGGATGTGAATGAGGAGGAGTTTCTGCATGTCTCCCAACGATGGCGAGGGATGATTCCGACACAGTCTAATGAGGAAGAGTAACTTCAATCAATGTCATCTGTGATGACTTTGACGATGCCAAGTGTAGGTGGTGGCTAAAAAGAACTGTTGGTGCGCACCAATGATGACGAGGATAATGCCTGACTGTGTGCCTGTCGAATGATGGAGGAAACTACTAGATGCCACCAATAAATGACGAGGATGATTCTGACGTGGGCTCTAATAAGGAGGAAACTTCTGATGTGTCTCCAACTGATGACGAAGGATGCTGCCTCAGACGTGGATGTGATTGAGGAGGAAGTTCTGATGTCTCCAACGATGGCGAGGATGAATTCCGACACAAAGCTCCTTAATGAGACGAGAACTTCATTATGTCATCTGTGATGACTTTGAACGAATGCTAAAAGGTAGGTGGTGCTGAGAAAGAAACTGTTGGTGCAACCAAATGATGAGAGGAAATAATGGCGAAGTGTGCTGTGAATGAGGAAGAAAAACTACTGATGCTCGAAATGATTGACGAGGATGATTCTGACGTGGGCTCTAATAAAGATGGAAACTTCTGATGTCTCCAACGATGACGAGGAATGATGCTGCGTTGGGATGTGAGGAGGAGAAGTTTCTGATGTTCTCCAACGATGGCGAGGACTGATTCCGACACAAAAGCTCTAATGAGAGAGAACTTCATATGTCAATTCTGTGATGCTTTGAACGGATGCTAAGGGTAGTGGTGTGAGAAAGAAACTGTTTGGTGCAACCATGATTGACGAGGAATAATGCTGACAGGGTTGTGCTGTGATGAGGGGAACTACTGATGCCGTACCAATGAAGACGAGGATGATTCTGACGTGGGCTCTAATAAGAGGAAACTTCTGATGTCCTCCAACAGATGACGAGGATGATGGCTGACAGTGGGACTGTGATGAGGAGGAAGTTTCTGAGTCTCCACGAGGCCGAGGATGATGCTCCGACAAAAAATTTATTTTTCTAATAGTGATTGTTTATCACGATATTATTATATAAGTAAACGTGGATTAAGCTTTATAGACTAAAATTGCCTATTGTAAAAATTTCAATTTGGAGATTATCTGTGTAAGTATAGTTACGTTGATTAAGTTCGTAATAGCTCTTAATGAGAAGAGACTTCATATGTCAATCTGTGATGACTTTGCACGATGCTAAGGTAGGTGGTAGCTGGGAGAAAGAACTGTTTGGTGGCATAACCAATGATGACGTAGGGATAATGCTGACGTGTTGCTGTGATGAGGAGAAACTCTGATCCGGACAATGATTGAAGAGGATGAATT